GACTGCCAACAAGATATGACCATGCTTGGATTACAAAATGGTTCCTTTTTGAGGCGCCGTAGGGACAATGCCGGACCCTTCTTGGGAGAAATACGGCTCAATTGTATAAGCTCAGTCTAGGTGTCAGAATGCATTGCAAGGAAGCGAGCAGACAGCAAAGTGTGTGGCTACGCTTGTTTCTGTATGCGTGTTCGCCTGTGTATATGGCGCTGTACGGTTTCGGTTGGGCAAAGGTGACGGAGATAGAGCAAGGAGGAGACTAACGCTGTTTCTGGTCCAAATTTTGGGTCGGCTTACTCGAAAGGAAGGCTCAGCTCCTGTTCCCGTGTAAGATGAGATGATTCAATTAGGAGAAATATGATTGGGCTTTTTGGACTAATAAACACATACACACATAAAGGGGGAAGGATGGGGATAGGAAAATACCACCCCGCAGTTACACTTGTGCTAATACATATAGGTACAACAATATCTAAATAGCAAGGGCTTCTAGTTGGTTGTTTAGCTTATAAATAGGTTTTTCGAGACGGAAATAACAAACTGATTCAGCATGCAGGCATAGGTACATGCACAGGAGATAAATCCATATATGCACTTCCGAGCATAAGTTCGAGTCTGGCCACAAGTATATATCACATTGAAGATGAGGTGAATTATGAGGGAAATATATAAAAATATATATATTCCAGCAGGCCCGTTCAATCCTTCTCGAAAGTCGGTAAGCCAGCCCCTTTTTTGCGCCAAGCTTATACTGCCTCAGTGACTCGCTGGACTGTCGGGGAGGCATTGGAGTGGAGGTGGGAAAAGCTGACATTGGTGGAAGGGGTGGAAAATGGAGAAGTTGTTCGAAGTTGGAGTGGGTATGAAAATAAAGGAGAGTGTGCTGACAAAGAGTACCATTCGAGTGGTTGCCCACCACCTACAATGACAAGCCTGCGACAGATTCAGGCAGATGCACTCAGCAAGCAGTGCATACAAACAAATGCGCATTTTTTGCGTCGGCTTCGCCGTCGGCGTCGGCGTTGGCAACGCAGAAGCACCAATTGGGCCGTGACTAAGATGTAGCCCCGGTTTTCCTCAGCGCCAGTGATAGTTGCCCAGGGGCAAACTGCCACGCTTAGTTTCCTGCGCTCCCACGTCGGGCATAGCCGATTCATCCAAGACTCGCTCCCACCCACATATACCTCCTAATTCGCGTCCATTTGTTAAGCCCACTTGGCCACCAAAACAACTTAACACCAGCCTGTGTGGCGCTGCGTTTGCATCTTCGAAACCCAGCTTCTATTCGCGCATGCAATCTCTGTCACATATGTATGCAAATATACACACGTACACATAGACACATACACATACGTATGCACACATTCACATAAACACACCCACCGTTACATACTCATACACAATTGCATACATATACACATACAAATATATGTATACTCGCACGCAATCACGCAAGTACACACATACATTCATACAAATACGCAAGTATCGCCAGTCCGAAATAAGACTCATTCGTTGTTGAGCCGAAACGCTTGTGCTGTCTGACTAGATTTAGGGCTCGAGCATCCAGCCTGAGTTTCTCTGGCGAGCATTCCCGATGCAGGGTGGCCTATGTCTTCTAAGATGAAAGTCAAATTTCGACGGCATAATTGGGAACTAAAAAGTCAGTATAATCAACATGTACTGGATGGCTGTCACCTGTTTGGTAATATGGGTCACATGAAAGCAAAGACCTTGATATTTCCCAGAGTTGGCATGATTCGCCTCTGTCCTATGGTGCTACAGTGAACGACAGTCTTTACATCAAGAAAAGCATTAAATAGGAGGCTTGATTCTACAATAAGAGTTCCAGACACCTTAGGCCGCATAAAGCGATGAAGGCGTTGAATTCCATTTGTCCTTGCTTCCCAGAAGGACAGCAGTTTCGACCTCGCCTAGGGCTCATCAGCTCGCTAGGGGAAGTCGAACTCGGGTTTTTCAATGTTTAATCTCGATATGTTACCACCAGTAAGCTTCTAAGTACCACGAAAGCCGTTCTCATCAAGTGATCGCTTTGAGTACCGACGTATACAGACTCAACAAACATGGTACCGAGTCCTGCGTGCCATGTATACAATGTGAAACTCGCATAAAATGATGCAAAGTTTTTCCTTTGTACTCTTTTTGTTGTTGTTGTTGAGCTAACTTCAATTTCGAATGAAAGTGTGTAGATCAATCCAATATTCCTTTGGGCCATCTGTCGATTGGCTATACTGGGGCACTCTATCAGACAACGTCACGGAGGTAATCTTCTTTGATTATGGTTAAAATGTGCCAAGTTTTTGTCCTTCATATGACCGGCCTCATCCAAACAGATTATCATTGTTACAACAATATGCAAGTCAACCAGGTTGTTCGGGTAAAGCCAACAGACAGGTGGCCATGAGGAAGCTGCTTTCTTCTTTTGGTTGGATCGACTTTCGAATCTCTTCACCACACACCTCTAATCTAAATGTAAGTGAGTTCAACCAAATATACATGTAGAATCTTTTCGAAACCCATTTTTTCACATATTTTCGCTGTTGGTGTAAAAGTGAAGCCAACTATCTAAAACATATTACTCAATAATAATTTTCTTTTAACAGTGTTGCGTAAGAAAGACATAATTAGATTGCGGAGACGAGAAAGCTGGTTGACATGACTACCGACATCAATTTCTCAAATGTTTCTGTATTGCGTGAGGACGATCCTTACTTTCGAGTGCTGAGCAGAGCTTAGGAGATAAAGGCTAATTGATGCTTGATTAAAGAGAGGAGTTGTTTCGTCATAGAATTCATCAATTGCATGCATTTGCAAAGAGGCTTGTTATCCAGAATTGTCCGGTTTTTCGGTGGCGCACGGGTTGAGACAGCACCCCAGGAGTGATTCGTAGCCGAGAAATGCGACCCGCGATGTTAAGACATCACCGTCAGACTAGACATGGTTTTTGCACCCGGGCATTGCGAATTTTTAAGGCTTGATTGCCCTCTCCTAACTCACAACCGTGGTGTAGATATAGCGAAATCAGCATATCAAATTAGCACGTATACAGGCCTTTATTTTTATTGCAGTCCTGTTGCGTTGTGTAGGCTAGACCTGCCCACATTTTCGCAACTTGGTCTTGTTGCCAATCCGACTTTGAATAACGTTGCTTTTACCGTGTCCTCTGCCATTACTGTCATGTTTTATCAGAAGAGTGGCTAGGTTTCGAGGCTTCTATTTGGATAACATTGTGGAAAAATGTTACCTCGTATGAAAGTGTAAATAAAAATTGTTTATAGATCAATCTTACCAGATGACGACGGCTGATTCTCGTTGTTCTGCAGCAGTTTGGCTTTAATACGATGCTAAGTTTGTTGCAGTCCACGAGACATCCTCCCTCGTTTCGGGCAAAACTAGGCTGACATTTGGATCGTCATATTTTGGACATGATTAGGGCTGAAATTCAATCTTGAAAAAAAAGATTAAGGTTGACGCAAAGTCAAGAATATTACCATACACGCTATTTATACTCTCAAATGAAAACGAGCATATACAGATATAGATGGTTATAAATGATAAGCTATAGCATTTAAGGTAGAGTTGGCTATTTTTCTTGATTTAGAGTTAACTTGAAGCCTTACCAAGAAAATGTCGCAACTCGAACGGAGTCCGTCAGGTGGTCTGATGGAAGAAAGCTCACTCTATTTTCACACAAAACAAGGAACGATGCCTCATGAACTGCTCGTATTAGAGCCAAGCGGCTGAGGATCAACTGGAACCAACCGTCCTCTTTCGATGGGATCGAACTACTAAGCTCTGCATTATGCACTTTCATAAGAAATGAAAATCTCCACAACAATGTCATGCTTTTGTTAGCCTCAGGAATGTACACTGTCAAAGATCATATACTGAAAATAGTCATGATAACTATGGCAATAGACTCACTATCTGACATCTCCTTCGAAGTACCCCTGAAACGAGGTAGGACCAATGCTGGATGATGGGAAATCTCTTCTGAGATACAAGACAGTACATACTAGCATCTAAATAAAGCCATTTTTACACTTTATTGAGACGAACTTAACTGCCAGTACTTGATTCGCCGATGGGTCGATCTTCAACAAGAACTCTAAAATTGTACTCAATAATTGTTTTGAAGTTTAGTGATTATAATAACGCATGTGCGGCATGTTTTACTTCAATGCTTAATTACCTACCAATACCAATTTATGTTCAAATCCCAATAACCCTTAGAAAGAGGACCGGCTGCAGACGAGTTTAGAAAAAAATCCGCTGCACTAAGTAAGAACTTAGAGGATGTTGTCTTTATCAATGCATTAATATAAAAGTCACTCTGAAATGTGTGTGTGTGTGTGGAAGAGCTTAACTTTGCTCCCAAATGCCATAGTGGATGGATTTTGAGTTATAATACATCCCAGACAGATAAGTCTCATAAGTAAAACATGGGTAATTTTTATTTGTATGAAAGTTTAGGCAAGACAGGCCTCTCTTAACTCACATTTGAGATCTAGAAATTTGGCTCCTTCAATAGATGAGAGTAAAAGTTTGTTGAATGAGATTTGTAAATTGGTCGCACCAGAAACCGAATGAGGTTTGCATTTGAGATTCAATTTGGCTTAGTGTATTAGAGATTTTTTTGTAAAGGATGGTTTCTCGCTCTAACGACTTCTGTCACATGTTAGAAGAAAGCTCAGCAAGGATTTATTAAGGACTTAGAGGGATTCAGTCCAAAACCCTGCTTACAAGATAGGTTCAGTCTCGTTAAGCGAAGCCGGGACGCTACACTTTCTGTCCCTAATAGTGAATTTTATTTAAGAAATCAACTAATTCAGACTGATGTTGATATTTTGATTGCTATTGCTATGATCACCGCAATCA